ACAGAAGTTAGCTGGACTTGATGAAGGTTACTACTTTTTCACTCTACTGCATATACTTACAGAATCAAACTTTGGTTTCTATGTTCACTATACGGCTATTAGCACATACAGAACTGTTTGGAAAAATAAAAAATAGATTAACTATGGTAAATTTCCACGATGCTTGAAGGCCGGAAGCCATTCTCCAGAGTGTCGTAGAAGGGGTGATTATTGAATTTCATTTCATGTTCGAATTTTAATTTATAGAGTAGTGTTTAACATTCCACACGATACTCGAACCTACCAACAAATCATATGAAGGATACGGGTTTACTTTTATCAGTCTCTAGTACTAATGTTCTTAGTTATACCTTTTTGGGTTTAGAAAGGTCTTTTCTGAGGCTCGAGTAGTGTTCTTTCGCTGCTTTTAAAGTTTAAAAATATTATTATTGATTTTTTTACTTTACCGATTCGAATTTTATATCATAGTTTTTCATTAATAAAAGACACGCTACATGAGAGGACACAATTACTACTTCTCTCCTCACACACACAAGCAGCAGTGACAACCGAAATCCTCCGTGCAATTAGACAAAACTCGTAGCTAGGAAGATTAACAAATAAAAACTTTATTAAACGATAAAAAAAAATCAAAAGGATATTTAATCTTACACAAATATGTATATATAAATATGAAACCAAGTATATTTAAAGGGAGACTTTATAACAAATAGTTTGTCATATGGGATACCTTATAACAAATAGTTTGTCACTTCACTGGAAAAGAGTGACATAACATCTTCTTAATGAAACTCATTTCTAGAGACTAAGATAACAAAAATATGACACTAATATCAATGCTTCTTAAGGAAAGGCAGCAGCAAGTAGTTTGCTTCTCAAGGATGAAATTCTTCATGCAGATGACAGTGGTTATCAGTTGGGCCATATCAAAGACTTAGACCCATCATAAAACAACCAACTGTTAACTGACCAGTTACACAAAATACTTCTATCCTCTTTAGAAGTGCCAGTGTCGAATAGCTGGGTCATCTGAAGAACTTGAATCTTTCATAGAAATAATTGCAACCAGTAGCTAAACCACTTAAAATACTTCTATCCTCTTTAGAAGTGCCAGTGTCGAATAGCTGGGTCATCTGAAGAACTTGAATCTTTCATAGAAATAATTACAGCCAGTAGCTAAACCACTTAAAATACTTCTATCCTCTTTAAAAGTGCCAGTGTCGAATAGCTGGGTCATCTGAAGAAATTGAATCGTTCATAGAAAGGCTTGTGACCTGTAGCTAAAACACTTAAATTGTTTGTACAATATTTAGAAGTATCCGTGAACAACTGGGTTGTCTTCACAACATCGATTCATCATTAGCAAAACAAAAAAACTTGTAACTGGTATACTGTGCCATAGAATAAAATTGCGCTTTTTATAGAAATGCCACTGAACAGCTGGCTTATCTCAAGAATTTCGGTCCTTCTTGGAAGTACCTGTGATAAAAAACTGAATCATTTCAAAAACTTGTACCTTCTTTTAAATAGTTAAAGTCACTAATATTGTTGATTCATGGTATTAAATCCCTTTAGGTAGAGTCTGTGGCTACTATATTCTCTGTAGCTCTTAGCTATCCACACGATGTTTACGTACATGGGAAGAGCTTACAGCTACTATACGTTTTCAAGCTCTCCAACAATGTACAGAGAGTTATGTATGGTATATTAAAGAAACTTTGAATATGCAAATCAACAAGTCTCATGACAACCACGTTCCACAGCCAATATAAAGTCGCGGTGAAACGGAATTTATCAGAAGTTCAGGACTACATTTTGAAATTGTTTGGCGTTTCATATGTAGTGTGATGCCACTGAAAAGTGATAGCATTTAGAAAGGGTACGTAACAACTCTTTCTGACGCAATATATTCGTGCACTTAGATCATAAGGATGTATTCAGATGTACCTTAATAACCGTAATAATTTTTGTGCCATTTCCTATCGGTCAGTAGCCATAAAAATATCTAAAAGTAGAACATAACATGTCGCAAAACTTTTTCTAAGAGATTCATGATCACCACTATCAGGAAAGGTTAGAAAGCAGAAGAGTGTTTATTATCTGACCAATATTCTGGACCCTTATTACCACACCGAAATACCAGCTTTATACAGAATTCCGCAAACAACACCATCCTATTTAACAGCAAAGTCACTAGCTTTGTATCTTGGTGCACCGACATAAGGCATTCAGCCATACCTCCTATTCAATCATAGCATATGTCAAGCAGCTGGAAAATGATACGGGTATTTTTGCTATTCCATAAAAAAGAAATACTGGTGGGCTTATATATATGTTCAGACTTTTGAAACGGATGATCGGAAACCGATGTCCTCCTATACTAGATGGATTATGGAAAGCCATTAGTAAGGAGGGGCGTGCTTTGAACATAATAGCTGTACAACTGAGGTTTTTACAATGAAAACAACACTGGAGATGCACGTTATTTTTAAATAGAATATGATCGAACGTGGCGACATGGACTGTAACGACGTGGTGAAACAACAAAATCGTTTTAATATAACGTACTCAACTATTGTATTTGAACCTGGGAAGAGCCTGTTACTATTATTTTATCTGAAGTATCAGATAACCACACGACGTATTTGTACCTGCGAATAGCTAGTGACTACCATACATCTGCAAACTCTCAGTTAACCGCACGATGTATTTGCATTTGGATGATATAAATGTTTTTCTATTTTAAATCCTATAATGTTTGACTTCTATGATACTTCTAACTGTGGTATACTTTTAATTTATGTCACAAAAAAACGTGCAAGTAAAAATACTGATTAAACAACGTTAATTGATTATAATCAAAGTCACTAAACATTATCTTTAGAGGAATAAAACACAACATTTCCACTTATTTCCAGTTTCTTAACTTGCCTGATTGCAGATGAGCCGGTTTTTTTCTTCCAAAAAACGTACAAGCCTACCAAACCGTTTCATTTGCAACGATTTCTGTCAACTGTCAGTGCCTTTTCTGTAAAATGGGAGCTTCTCGAAAACTAAACAAATTTTAAACTTTGCATATCTTTGAAATTTTATATACTGCCCATGCAGTCAGAGGAAACAAAAGTTGCCTCGGGGGGGAAGGGACTAAAGTGCATGCATTGTTTGAACATATTAATTCTATAAAAATAATCGGGTATAAACCGTAGAAAATGCGAGATTTATAGACTTTCAATAGAGCATTTCCTAAAATATATATGGTAAAACGCGGCCAAGTGTATGTTGGCCTTAAAATTATTAACAGGTGTTAACCTGCTCCCCCCCCCCCCGTCTCCGCATATAGTTTTTATTGGGTAATTTACCTCTGAGACTGACAGTGAGCTCGTCAGTTTACCACTACACATGTAGGAAAAGCTAATACTAAACTAATCTAATGTGTTCCTGACTGTATTGTGTTTGTTTGTAATTAAGCACAAAGTTACACAATGGGCTATCAGTGCTCTGCCCACCACGAGTATTGAAACCCGGTTTCTAGCGTTGCAAGTCCGCAGACATGCCGCTGTGCCACTGGGGGGCTTCCTTACTGTAAAAGTTATTAAAGGTTCAAACCAAATCATACACTTTAATACAAATATAATAGTTAAATGGTAGCAGCGTGACCTCCAGAATGTACAGACTGGTTTGACAAATTATCATACATACTTCGTTTCAAAATTTTGTGGATAGGCATGGCGTACCGGACTGTGAATCCGAGGATTGAAGGTTTGCGACTCGTTATCACAAAAACGCACTAATCTCTTATAAATACATAACAAAATACCTAACTTTACAACTAATGACCTGACGCTAAGTTTGTTGGTGATATGGCTGCAATGTAGTAGCATCCAAGATTTATTACAAAAGCTTTTTGGAGTTAGTACAATTCATGATACTTTAATGATATTTGTATAGGAAAAAACTCACCTAGAAACCTTTATAGCAGCAACTCCATTTGAATTTATATTAGGGGACCACTAAGCCCGTGGAAGTCCTTGGATTTTTCTGAAGTGAAAAGGCAATAATTTGTGGCTTGTCACTGGATTATACTGTAAGCTTTACAGTGCACACAATAAAATAATGATACGGGTACATTTTTGCCAGGTTCTACTAATCGTCTTGGATGAAATTGCCCCTGCTGACCTCTCCCCCAAAATTTGCACTTCTTCCTTGTCAAAGGATACCACATGTTTCACGCTATAACAGAAGTATTTACCACAGACGAAACAAGTGTCATTGATCACAGTAACTTTCCTCTAGTAATCTTAACATATAAGATCTTAATAATTACTTATCAGCATACTTGAGTAAGGAAGCACATTATGCTCATATAATAATAAGATGGCAAACAGCGATTTGTAAGCATAATGAAGTGATTTATTTTTGAGGGAACATGCTACATGTTGCGACTGCTGGTACGAAACTCAATCAAGCACTGCCTGATCATTTATCTGTTTGATCTTTGACCTGTTAGTAATAAAGATATTGCCTGAACTTGTCCAGATATGTCTTATCACCAGAAAATATCAACATGGCACGGCAAGCTCCATCACAAGGGAATCAGAATGCGGCCATTATTCCATATGTAGGTACTCATAACATGTCGCCATCTTACATTATGGCCGTGCTATAGAACGCTAAGCATCTTAAAGTATAGATTCAAGGTCAAACGGACATATTATCATATCTTGACTAAAAACTAAATATAATAAGTTAAGCACATAGAAAGTGCTTTATCAATGTAAGCGTAAGAGAGCATTGAGTCACAGGCCGAGGAGTAACTGTTACACTACCAAACCTTCACTTCTATATAAAATACACACCAAATAAAACCAGGAGAGATCGAAGACTCTCAGCAACTTAAATTTGAGCGTTGTTTGGTATTATGTTTAATACCGTGTGAGGGATACTACAAGTGTGTAGATCCATGTGGATGATAGTATGTTTGTTCATAAATTCACACTTACCTGTATTTTCGTTAATGATGAAAAATCCTTGGGAATCACCACTGACGATTTCGTAATGTATACCCTCGGCATTTGGGGAGTCTTGGTCAAATGCGTCTAGCTTGACCACTGATGTTCCGAGCTCAGCGTTCTCCACCACTGTAGTGAAGTAAGCAGGCTCTACAGTCAGAGGAGTGTTATCGTTCTCATTTAAAACCTCAATGAATACGTCAACTCGATCATACAAAGGCACCGTTCCCCAGTCTCTAGCATAGACGCACAGCCAGTAGCTCGAGGTGCTTTCATAGTCAAGTGGGGTCGTAGTTCTTATGATACCTGAAATATGGCACATACAAAATAATGAAACTACGAAACAAACGATACAAGCTGAACAGTATTTCCAGTGGTTCAACTACAATAACTCAGAAAGGTTTACATTAAAAATGACAAAAGAAATAAAATTAAAACAGAATTTATGACAAAAATGGCAGACGATATACATACGGTTTCGAATAGGTTATATTACATTAAAATTACACAAAATTAATTTTTAAATAATCTTTCTTTAAGTGCATTTGTTACTATTCTAAGTTTACAGAATTGAACAAATCCTCCTGTTCGAAATCATATAAAAAGCTTTAATAATGAATAACAAATAACCAAATATAAGTGGAAGAAATAAAAATGCTGTATTGTGGCAATTAAAAAGAAGAAGAAAAAAAAATGTTGTCCTTAAGTGTAAGGTGCTGTAAATATATATATATCACTAAAACCAGTCTTAAAATGAAATTATATAAATAATGCCATGATACGAATTTCGTTAAACTTGAAACTAACACAACATTCAACACAGGGAACTCTCTCTCGTTAAAACAATCTGATAAAACACACCTTAGGTGTGAAAAACGTTGTGGCTAAAAAGTGATTGAGCGTGCGACTTGAACGAAAGAAATCAAAATTGCTGCCAAACTGACAGCTACACTTATAGCATAGATAAGAATTTTACAGCAAATATTCATTCATTAGTTAGCTAGTTTTATTTATTTATGTTGGTAAGTAAAACAAAATATGTCGCCTGGCTAACTAATAAATGAATATTTGTTGCAAAATTCTTATCAATGCTATAAGTGTAGCTACCAGTTTGTTCGCCAATTTTGATTTCATTCCTTTAAGTTGAATCTTTTTTTGGACGCACCTTTTTTCACACCTAAGGTGTTTTTCATTATGTATATCATTACTTTTTGTCAATGCACACCATCAAATCACAGCAAGTAAGAAAGTGACATCCGATAGTAACCCACATTAGCTTTAGGATCGCAACCCTATTATCCGGAACAGATCTGTACTTTACAGAACCAACCAGTTTCTTTAAAATGTATGGTGGTAGTTCCCCTCCCCCCTCTAAAACAGTGTTACTAACTTTCTTTATAATAACGCCACGGAATATTGATTAATAGTTTCTTGTCTTTACCCAC